AGGCTATGTAGCACCAGGCATCGCAGCGAGAGGTGGAGTACAGTTGCTCTTGCTGCGATACCTACAATACCCTCATCCTGCGGGTATTGTCACCAGCTACAGGTATTAGCCAGCATTATGGGTGATACAGGTATTGGTCTTAACCATTGAAGGTACGGCAGTTAAGGTCAGCTTCGCCTGTTACAGTTAACGATGGGGTTAGTGTTTTTCCTGTTGGGGATGTTGTCGGTATTGGGGAGTTCTTTGGGGGGCTGCCAGGCTGTTGTGGGTGGGGGAGGGCACCATCAACGTGGTGAAGAGGGTTGGCACTACAGTGTATTGCTTTAATTTTATCTTTAAAACACACACACACCACACACACACACACACACACACACACACACACACACACACACACACACACACACACACACACACACAATCTCTAGTCGTAATGGTTTGGGGCTTCCCAATGATAATTCCCTTCCCTTCTGTCTCTCCCTCTCTCCCTCCCCCTGTAGACACCCCCACACCCCCCTCCCCCCATGATGCAGAGGGTCGTGGTATTTAAGACAAACACGATCGATGCGATCCTGGGGCGGCGTGGGACCCACCACACTACCAAGCATGTAATTTATCCTTGCACGAAACACAGAGGGGTAGGGGTAGGGGGGTAGGGGGGGTGGGGGCGGGGGGAAGGGGGAGCTCTGGATAACGACCCCGTGACCTGGGGCTTCACGGACCCCCATCACCCCACGACCACAACATGGACGTAATCCCATCCATGAGTCATGAATGACGCCGCGGTACATGGAACAAGAGCAGCCTTCCTCACACACACACACACACACACACACACACACACACACACACACACACACACACACACACACACACACACACACACACACAAACACACACACACACACACACACACTATAGTGTTCCAGCACGGTGACCACAAATTGGCTAGGATTCTTCAAGCACGCACGCAAGGGTGGGGGCGGGGTGGTGGGGTCAAAGGGTGTGGGGGGGCAGAGGGCTGTGTGGGGGGATATAGAGGGGGTGTGTGGAGGTCAAGGGGGTGTGTGTATGGGGGGAGGGGGAGTCTGCAAGCATGTAGGTCAACAGAGAACACAACATGGTGAGTGTAAACACAGTACTCACCCAACATATGTGACATGTTATGTTGCCTAATCCCACACATGTGAAACGCCCCGACTTGACAAACATGTACTCACCAAGTTGTGCTTGCGGGGATTAAGCTCTGGCTCTTTGGTCCCGCCTCTCAACCGTCAATCAACAGGTGTACAGGTTCCTGACTCTCAACTCTCACGTGTGAGTTGAGCTATGTGTACCACAAGTGTACATATGTGTCCAGCCCTGGAAGACGTTAAACAACACCGTTCAGCCGTCGCCAACAGTAAGCGAGCGCTGACACATATACCAGTCACACAGATCTATATACCAGAACATCGTCTCAGGCGCCATATTGGAATATATCGCCTCACGAATCTTTATATCAGCCTCGTGCTTTCCTCACAACCCCCTCATCATTCTTATACATTATATATATATATATATATATATATATATATATATATATATAATATATATATATATATATATATACTAAAAACGTGAAAAAACTCTTCACTTTGGTCAAGGGAGTTTGGGCTGCACCATAAAACATATTCCGTATATGTTTACAATATACCGTGAATGTTTTAACAAATAAAGATGTGCCACTGAGCCGAGGAAGGATGTGTCCGGAATTGTTCAAATGGAATTAAGCCAGAGAGATGAAAGTTTACACCCGACTGGATCCCACCCTGTTGCACACGCACAAGCTGAGTTTTTGTACAAAATACCAATTTATCACACCGTACAGATAGGTATAGGCTGGCTGCATATTCCCGAACTGCCACAAAGCCTTCAACACTGTTCCACACACACAGGCGGGGTCGTACATAAAGTTGACAAAAGTTGGATCAAGAGGAAGCGTGTTGACCTGCCAGAGAGAGAGAGGGAGAATACCTAGCTAAGAGGAAGGAGAGAGTTGTCGTGAGAGTGTAGAGATATACACATGGAGAGAGGTAACAAGCAGAGTACCAGTACTCGTACAAGTATGAGGACCCTCACTGCTTCTCATAACATGAATCTCAGTATCACAACTGAGGAAGTTAAAGTTTATGAAAGTGCTTAAGAATCAAATCTCCAGTTTTATGGAGAACAATAAACTGCGCAATTCAGGTGAAGATGACTTTAGAGAGGCTGATGAAACAGGATCTCACCATGCTGGGGGGGGGGAAGAAGAGAGAGAGAGAGAGAGAGAGAGAGAGAGAGAGAGAGAGAGAGAGAGAGAGAGAGAGAGAGAGAGAGAGAGAGAGAGAGAGAGAGAGAGAGAGAGAGAGAGAGAGAGAGAGAGAGAGAGGATAAAGATGCGACATGCTCACATACCTTCCAAGGGTTACAGAGGCATTACCCCCAGTGCGAACAATTACCAGCAAGAGGGACACGACGAGGGAAACAAAGACCATGACATGAGCCTCAAGGGATGTAAACAAGTACTTGGGTGTAGAGCAGCGAGCAAGGGGAAGGGGCTCAGAAGGCCAGGTAGCTGGAGGTCGCTCCCTGTAAAGTTACGAGAGTTTGGGTTGATAAGAACCTCGCCGGTCCCAAGTTACTGTCCTTCAGTGACCGGAGACCGAAAGGTCCGGACAAAATCCATACAGGTGGAAGAGACGGGTCGGTACAGAGACCCTTAGTGCCGACTCGCCCGTCGAGTTTCACAAGCATCAAGAATCTGTTAACACCATCTACGCCAACATCTACGCCAGCATCTACGCCAGCATCTACGCCAGCATCTACGCCAAAATCTACGCCAGCATCTACGCCTGTCCTGGCCTCCCACACACAGCTAGGCGGGGAGGTGGAGACTGAGGGCGGGGGATGCAGACAACACGCTGGAATATAATATGGACACGCGTCTAATGGATGCACGATGAGTCTGTATAAAGCCTGGGTAAATAGCCCACCACAAGCACATGAGAAGAGGAGTGAGGGAGAGAGAAATAGGTAGAGTGGAAGTGAATTGAGGGACGAAGAGAAAGTGGAGGGAGGAACGGAGGGAAATGAAACGGCGCGAAAAACTTCCGTGTACGAAAATAGCCGAAAACTTGCAAAAAATCCAATTTGTGCAAGGTGACCCTGAGCGACGGGTCCCACACCTGCGACGCAACAACACTCCATAACGCCATGTTTTGTGCACTGCTCACCCCCACCAGCCACCCCTTCTCCACCCACCACAACGCCCGCACCTGACGGCAGTTCCCGCCCAGCGCTCAGCTCGCCCCGCACCAACGACCCTCTCACCTTTCCCCGTTTACTCTCACAATTCATCAAAGCCTCATTCATTAATTCGCATTTTGATTATCGCTTCGCTTCTCACCCTATTTAAGAATAATTTGGCGGATGGCTGCCACCCTCGACACGGGCAGTTGGCGGCCTCCGGGATCAAGAATAAGCCACACAATTCGGCCATTTCCCTCGTGAGAGGAGGGGGCATAGCGCCCCCTGGCCGTCACCTTAGGTCGCAGGGATGGTGAGAGAGGGTGGGGAGGAGAGACATATGGGGGGAGGATGGAGTAGAGAGGGGGAGGGAAGAGAGAGAGAATGAGAGGGGGGGGGGGGGAGAGAAGGTAAGGCAATTATCAGGAGAAAGCTCTAAGCCATTACGACTATATAGCACTGGTAAGGGATATGAAGATAAGGATATAGGACAGGACGGGCGTGGAGGGGGAATGGTGCCCAACCACTTGGACAGTCGGGGGATTGAACGCCGACCTGCAAGAAGCGAGGCCGTCTCTCTACCGTCCAGCCCAAGTGGCTGGAAAAGAAAAAGAAGAAAAAAAGAGGGGAAGAAAAAGAGGGGAGGGGAGAGAAATTAGGAGGGAGTGATGGTGAGGGAGAAGGAACATATCTCACCTGACTCTAATGGTTGTGACTTTCATGCACGCAACCTGGGCCCCTCCCTCCTCCCCCCCTCCTCCATCTCTCTCCCTCCCCCCCTTCCTCTCTCCCTCCCTCCTCCCCCTACTCTCCCCCCCTCCCCTGCTCACCCAGCCCCGCACCGGCACGTAAATCCTAAACATTTTTGTTGAAATAACAAAGCCAAAAAAGTATTTTAAACAAAAAATACTGCCATGAAAGGCACGACATGTAGAGCTCTACAGTGATGGCACGCTTGGTGGTGTAGAGCTCTACAGTGATGGCACGCCTGGTGGTGTAGAGCTCTACAATGAAGGCAGGAACCATGACATTATGGGTAAAATCCTGTAGAAGGAGAGATAGCCAATAAGATATCAGACTTCAAGCCTTCAAGTCAAATAACGTAAATCATTAGATATCTGGTGGCAGCGGCCTCCCCGCCCACACACCGGGAGGTCCCCTTTGGTCCCCGGCGAGGCGGGACCAAAGAGCCAGAGCTCAACCCCGACAACCACAACTAGGTGAGTACTAAGACAGTATACGACTACTAAGTCAGACGGTCGCTCTCCCTAGGCCTACCGGCGCCGGTAGCCCTGGAGCAGTAGCAATTGTCCTCTTGCTCTGTTTTCGGCAATGATGCTCCTTGTTAAGATGCTATATTGGGTAACTTGTGACTTCATATCCCCGTATGTAATTATCACTGCCGTGTTCGGACCATACGGCTCCTACAAACACCGCCGTGTTCGGACCATTCGGCTCCTACGAACACCGCCGTGTTTGGACCATTCGGCTCCTACGAACACCGCCGTGTTCGGACCATTCGGCTCCTACGAACACCGCCGTGTTCGGACCATTCGGCTCCTACGAACACCGTCGTGTTCGGACCATTCGGCTCCTACGAACACCGCTGTTCCGTACACATGACGCAAGCATTATGGTAAAGTCCCGACACTTGCCAAGCAGCGCCAAGTTACACGAGAAAAGTAGCAGTAGCTGAGGCAAGTGTTCCAAGTGTTGAGAGGGCTACTTACCTGGCTGGGAGAGCTGGAGGAGGGAGGTGTAGATGTCGTGACAGTCCCTCTCCTTAGGGATGACGAAGGTGACGGAGAGGAAGGTCTTACAGCGCACCTGCAGCGGGGAGCCTTGTGTTGATAGCGGCAGCTTCTCCACCCCAGAGATGTGCATGTGCAGGATCTGTGGGCACCAGGAAGGTGTGAGCAGGTGTAGCACAGGTGAGGAGGCGCAGGCTGCAACACCGGACAGGGGCTAAGGATAGGGACAGGAAGACGGGATAGGAGAAATGTCCATAAATACAGAGAATACAGACAGATAGACGGCACGTATAGACACGATACAGCACCTACATTATTGAGACCGGCTCAAAGCTCTCAAAATTTACTCTGGAAAGAAGACGTGAGGGGTATTATATATATATATATATATATATATATATATATATATATATATATATATATATATATATATATATATATATATATATATATATATATATATCCATCAAAAACACCAAAAATATATTACTGGTACAAAAGTGAAGGTGTTCAAGAACTACAAAGTCATGTTCTTACAAGAAGTGCCGGACCAACCGGGCTGTGGTGGGTGTGCGGGGCTCCGAGCCGCTCCAAGCAACAGCCTGGTGGACAAAGCTTAAAGTCAAGCCTGGCCTCAAGCTGGGCTTAGGGGGGTACAAGAACTTCAGAGCTCACTCCAGGAATACTCCTGTGAAGGAGGGGAGGGTTGGGGGGGGGGCATAGGACATGAGAAAGGAGGGACCGGGAGAGAGAGAGAGAGAGAGAGAGAGAGAGAGAGAGAGAGAGAGAGAGAGAGAGAGAGAGAGAGAGAGAGAGAGAGAGAGAGAGAGAGAGAGAGAGAGAGAGAGAGAGAGAGAGACCCACTACATACCCCACCCTCCACATCACATATCATTACATTAACCACACACACACGTGGACAAACTCAATCATTACAACACAAATATATTAGATCCAGCAACAACGACCATCAACCCTACCCACCGCAATCATGACGGACATACAGCTGTATTCCCCAATGTATTTTACACTGCCTACGGCTGCAAGTAACCTCATTACAATACTAATCATCCTATTACTCAATGATGCCGCTCGTTCAATGACCAACTAAATATAAACACTAAATATCTGGCAAAGGTAAACTGCCGCACCGTTGCCTGTAACTTACCTTACGAAATAACCACTAATATTATAGCGGCAACAATTCGTTTAAGATACGATCAAAGGTCAGGAGAGAAAGGAATCCTAACATGGGACTAACTTTCCAATCTCAACTTTACAAGACAACTTTTAACTAAGTTTGCTACACTTGTCGCAGCGTCCAGGACAGGTTGGTACACCTCTCACTGGGTCCAGGTCAGGTTGGTACACCTGTCACTGGGTCCAGGTCAGGTTGGTACACCTGTCACTGGGTCCAGGTCAGGTTGGTACACCTGTCACTGGGTCCAGGTCAGGTTGGTACACCTGTCACTGGGTCCAGGTCAGGTTGGTACACCTGTCACTGGGTCCAGGTCAGGTTGGTACACCTGTCACTGGGTCCAGGTCAGGTTGGTACACCTGTCACTGGGTCCAGGTCAGGTTGGTACACCTGTCACTGCGTCCAGGTCAGGTTGGTACACCTGTCACTGGGTCCAGGTCAGGTTGGGATGGGTATGGGGTACACCTGTCACTGGGTCCAGGTCAGGTTGGTACACTATCACACCCACGGGATGATTATGGGTCCAGTACCACCCACGGGATGGGTATGTGGCCCACTACCACCCACGGGATGGGTATGGTGCCCACTACCACCCACGGGATGGGTATGGGGCCCACTACCACCCACGGGATGGGTATGGGGTCCAGTACCACCCACAGGATGGGTATGTGGCCCACTACCACCCACAGGATGGGTATGGGGCCCACTACCACCCACGGGAATGGGTATGGGGCCCACTACCACCCACAGGATGGGTATGGGGCCCACTACCACCCACGGGATGGGTATGTGGCCCACTACCACCCACAGGATGGGTATGGGGCCCACTACCACCCACGGGAATGGGTATGGGGCCCACTACCACCCACGGGGATAGATATAACGTTCATATTGAACCACACCAAAACCTCACTCAACTCGACAAGTATGAAAACCCGTTGGAACGACAAAATAATTTGACAAACACAGCAATGAATATATTTATGAAGGAAGTGAACTCAGCAGTTCACTTTGATGTTCTACACGACGGCCAGCTGCTGATGTTGATGATATCAAACTTCATTGTATATGTTAATACACGACGGCAACTGGTGTACAGATTCGGCAGCCTGCTTCTAACGTCTCTGATTTGGTACACTCTTGCAGCCTTTCCTCATAACTCATGCCTCTTAGTGTCTAGTACTGATCATGTGAAACAAGTCAAGATAGCGACGCTGGCACAGTGCCAAGTTGACCCAGAATTATGTTAGGGACACTGGCCTGTAGTTCAGTGCCTCCTGTCTATCCCCTTTCTTGTATATCGGGACTATGGTTCCCACCCTGGATAGCCGCCCTCCTTACCTCTGGAAGGTGGCGCCTTTACTGTTGTTTTTCTCCTAATGTGGCTATGCAACAATTTAGGCTGAGTCTGAAGATAATACATGATGATATTAAACTTCATGTATATGTTAATTACAACTTGTTATCTCAACATAGCCAGAGTACGTGATCTGGGCTAGTGTCGTGTGTGTGTGTGCTGTGTGTGTGTGTGCTGCGTGTGTGTGGCTGTGTGCGTGTGTCAATCTTTCCGTGTGTGCCCATGTGTGTGTGTGTGTTAACTGCCTTGTACGTGATGTGAACAAGTCGCAGCCACTATACTCCTTCTCGAGGGCAGTGTGCCAAGTTCAGCATCACAGCTGAACTTGGCACAGTGCCAAGTTGCCAGCCCAGGTGTTATTGATTATGTTGGCCTATGTGCCGCCCTCCCACCCTAGGTGTCAGGGCCTAGCCACCCTCCCACCCTAGGTGTCAGGGCCTAGCCGCCCTCCCACCCTAGGTGTCAGGGCCTAGCCGCCCTCCCACCCTAGGAGTCAGGGCCTAGCCACCCTCCCACCCTAGGTGTCAGGGCCTAGCCACCCTCCCACCC